GACCATTTTATAATTAATTACTGACCACTTTAGTACTGACCATTTCAATATTCACACTGATAATTTGTAGATTTTTTTACTGACCATTTCATTTATTTTACTGACCAAAAATTATGTTCCCATAAAGAATAATTACAGAAATAATAAAGAATTATCATATAAACTACTAAATAAACTATTAGAGGGAATATTTTACGGTGATAGAAGTATAACAAGAGAACATTATGAGGTTCCCTACTCATGATTGGAGAGGATGCCTCGTTACTTCTTTACTGGATCGTTTTTTTCTAATAGGTATTTTAAGCTATTGGTGACTCTGTTTGTGTATAAAATTAGTATATTATCGAGTGGGGTTCCTTCAAACACCTCTTGCCACATCTGATTAAAATGAGAACCTGAATGTGCCTAAGAGGGAGTATAGCTAAAATGGAGGAATATGTCTTTACCAAAGTCTATTTGTCTTTCTTATTTTTTACTTCATGTCAGATCCAACACTAGATATCTGATTTCTGGTGGTTATTGCCTAAAAGAATATTCGGTATTTTTTCTCCTGCTAAGTCATTTAAGAAGCGCCCCATTTGTTTGTCTATAAATTGTGATGGAAATTTATTTAACAGCAGCATAAAATCCTAATTTTCTCTAGTACATACCGACGATATTCTGGGTGGAAACATATGTGAGTTGCTCGTAATGCAGCTGCATAGGGTATATTCTTAAATATTTGGAGTGGGTATGATGAACTGAATGAAACTACGCAGGGTTGGACTGTTAATTTCTAAAAAAACTGTTGTTCTAAAATCAGGTATTTCTACGGTAGTTTTCACGTCTAGGTAATCAATGGTTTTTTTCCTTCTTGTCATGTGATAACTGTATTCGAATCTTTCTTGTTCGATTCTGTTCTAGTTTTTTCTATCTGCTCCGATGGTAATCTGGTAGTTGAAAAGATATCGTCTCTAAAATGGAAGTATAGTTCACTTTGTTGGTATTGATGTTCTACAAAAGAAGTTTCCCATTTCCATACTTAAATGTCTACAAATACTTGCGTACATGCTGATCTCGTTGCTTTTCCTCTTATTTGTTTGTAAAATTTTGGTTCTGATCCTGGATATTGTTGGACCAAATATGAATTTTCTAATACATGGGAAAAAGAGCTTTTATCGTGCAGATGCATAAGACCATGAATTTGTTTTTATAACCGTATCTATCTAGAAATTTACATACGGCTAATATTGCTTTCTTGTGTGGAATCATAGTATACAGTGTCATGGCACGTACATAAGACGTGTCATAAGAAATAATTATGTTATATGCATTATCATATAACGTTCATTTTCTTTTTCGTTTTCATACATATATGTTTAACTAGATGTTTTTCTTTCGTGCTATTAGGTATTTTTCCTGATGTTGTCCTATTATTTTCTTTCTATATGTTCATTCTTTCTTTGACTTAACAACGCTTCTTCGTTTTCTTCCGTTTCTATTGTTATGCTTTTTTTTCTATTCTTTGAAAATTCAAGAAAACATTATTCTTAACCTTGGCATATATTATTGCGTAGTTAATAGTACGTATGATCATCATTGATATGCTCGTGTGATTCTAAGAAAATCAGATTAAGATTATTGTTTACAACAAGAAAAGTAACTCATAAAAATAACTTAAATAACATCTTAAAATAACCAGATACACAACAATTTATATCGAATCTAACATACAGATCCGTTATATCGAATGTATCTAAATTCGTTTCTGGTGTGGCCTTCAATTCTTTCAAGTATTTAAAAAAAATTATCGAGCTGGGAATAGAATACGAAGTGTGTTTATTGAAAAGATGTCGAAGACTTTGATCTTGAAAGATGAACAATTTTGCTAATGGAGATTTTATTCCGCCGACTAGAGGACTAAGAGATTCTTCAATTTTTTAGTTCTTCGGTTTATGGTAGAGATGAGATAGTTTCGATTCACTAAGAGAAGGCCTTAATTTATCGAACATAAATCGAGGCATTTGTTTCTTAGAGACTAAATTGTGTAAAACTTCATCTGTTTTTCGGATCATCTCTCTGTGGCGATATAGATATCTCTTCATATGCGTTAGTTTTTGCCATGTGTGCTGCTAATTTTTTTATATAACTCACTCAACTATCCGCATGAAATACTATTGATTTGTCTGCCTGTCTAAAAGTAACCATTTTCTGTTTTGGGATCTTTTGGAAAGTCATAAAGCTGGTTTCGTGGTGGAATTTGCTGGGATTTCCGTTCATACTGTTTTTCAAATTTCTTTCTGTATACATAGAGAACATTCTTGTACAAGGGGCGGGTCTCGTGTGAGTACGGTGTATTTGTGTGGGTGTAGAGAAAAACGAACCAAATCCACACCCTTGGTAGTTTTGTTTGCTTATAATCACGAACAGAGCAGAATTGGCTCGCATTTCAAAGTATTCATAACTTTCTACGTCTCTCGCTGTTATTTAATCAATGTAATGTACTTACAATGAATATTTTAATGCCTTCTACACATGTAGTGTGACATGCCAAAACCGACATTTATACTTATTCACTGGATTGACTTTTTTAACATTATTTAACTCAGAAAACGAATCAAAGTTATGTTAAAATGTTCCTGTTAGCCATAGAAATAACTTCATCATATTTCATAATTTAATACCGCAAGGGTTCCGTTAAATATCTTCTCCTTTTATTGTAGCTCTGTATTATAAACATGTTTCACTCCTAGTCATAAGAATAAATAGCAGAAAAAGTTGAGATTTAAACAAAAGTGCACGTAGTTTTAAACGATATTCATTGATAAACTATGTTCAAAGGTATTGAAACACGAAACTATTCTGTTTTAGATATTTTGTATGCTACTGATTCAAAATATAACTATATATTCTGTTTGTTGTGGAGTTTGTGAGAGTTTTCAATTAAAGCCTAATTATGTTCAGGAATTTGTATGATTTGTGAGGGTATTTGATTGAAATTCATTTGATTTTAGGAAGACCAAGCCAAAGAAAAAGGAAAGATCTTTAGAGTCATGTATTGCCAATATAGATCATTTCTAAAATGTTCTCAAGTTCAGAATTTGTATGCAACCAAAATTAAGTGAAGAATATTTTTAATATTGCTTGTTTTTTATGAGAAATGATTATATTTTTCATGTCCTTTTTGTTCGACATCGGATATAAAAACAAATGCTGTGAAAAAATGATATGATTTGTGTCACATTTTTTAATTTTCTTAGCACGAACTTTAAAGTTGTGTGTATTTGAGTATGATTTTTCATCATTATCTTTGTCATTGATTGTAGCCATCTTCATAAATAATATAGAAAATATGGATTAATTCTGTTGTAAAGTTTTACTCAACCATATTTCGACCAAAAAGTACAACCGAAAGATTATTAAGCTTACCTGCTGTTTGTCATAGAGCAATAGCTGTCTTTCTTTCTCAATTGATTATTGAATAATTAATATATTGACTTGTTTGTTCATGAAATAATTTGAAATATCACTTTTTGATGTCATAATAGAAATCATTGTTACATACATTACAGTTTGACACAATTGAAATGAATTATTTGTTTTCTTAATTAAAAAAATAAGCGCATATTTTTATATCTTTTTATGACAAATGAAAAGCAGAACTTATTGTTAAGTATAAGAGAAATATTTTATGGTTTTATTTGAAACTAAAAGGAAGTCTACTTACAGAATATGCATACATATATATACATATATCATATAGTTACAAAACAATATTTATTATTCTAGAGAGTATACATAAGACAAATAGAGTACTTACGAGTGACGATCGCCAACCGTTCAATCACTTTTGAGTAGAGATTCTGTGCCTTATTTAGATCCATATGAGCCATGGAAACTCTAAAAGGTGTTCGGGCAATTAGCTTATTGGTACGAAAATACCGCAATTTTGCGGTACTTTTTAAAATAAATGCCGTGGTCCTCTTCAGGAATACCAGAAAATCTTACCTTTGAATTTCTATTTAAAATTTTGCATTAGGATAAATCTTAAGGAGAATAGTTTATTATAGAAGTCTCAGGCCTTTTTGTTTGTTCTTATACCGAAATAAGGCCATCAAATTTGCCGGCTTATATGAGCTATGTAAAATAGATGCTATTACCCTAGTTTTATCTTATGACAGAGACAGTGATAAAACCTGAAACATTCACAATAAACAGTTCTCATTAAGATCTATCTCTATGCAAAATTTCAAGTTGAAATTCAAAAGTTAGTTTTTTTGGTATTCTTGAGAAGGACCTAGACTTTTATTTTAATAAATACTGTGAAAGTGTAATGTCCTTGTATCAATAAGCTAACTACCGGAACAAGTTTTAGAGCTTTTATAGCTCATATGGGTCTATATAAGGCACAGAGTCTCGACTCAAAGGTAATTGAACAGTTGATGACCTTCCATCGTTGGTCATAAGGTTATAAAATTTTTAATTTGTTATTCGAGTAAGTCTTGTCCAAAACTTTTTGAACACATCAACTAATGTTTTACGAACTATCTTTCCACCACATAATGTATAAATATAAAATGGCATTCCACTTGAAAAATAAGTTAAAAGCAGTAAAATATTAAAAGCTAGATTTTCAATAGCATTTTGTAAAGGAGATTTAGTCTGATTTTCAGTCATTGTTGAATAAATTTTTTGTATTGCTTGTGGAAGTGTGAAAAAACAATAAAGAACTGTTTGTATTACAAGCATAACTAGTAAATAATAATCCGTCTTTCTCCATTGTTGTGGTTGATTGTGAGCATTTGTTGACATATGTGTTACTTGTATTATACATACGCGACGATGTGAGCGTTTCACATTTGACATTGTCAGTAGACTAAATGTGATCATAACAGTAATGGGTATTATAACACTGATAAGTGCATATGAGAAATCAGTTATCGTACGACATAATTCTGTTTTTCCATAACATTTTAGTAGCGTCTGAATCAAATTTGCTTCATAACAATAAATTAATTGAGCATATAACATAATTGAAAACACTAAGGTAATGAATGTATTTCTGTATGCATTTTTTAATGAACTCATTTGTCGGTATCGACACTTATTTGATGATAAAAGCCATCGATCAATACTTGCTAATGCTATTAACCATAAAGCAACAGTTCTTGAAGCCATTAAAACAAATATACGAAGTTTACATAGCCAATCGATTGTATTTGTTAGATCAACTGCATAACCTGCTAATATTCGTGTTGTTAAACCAGATAAAATAGAACAAAGACCTGCAACTGATGATATGCGAAAGAAAAATGAACATGGACTTGTTCGAAGTGATTGTTGAGATAAAACAATCACGTTGAGAGCATTACCAACAATACCAAAAATAAAAATAAAAATTGAAACATAACGATTTAAGAGTGCTGATATATTGTTTAATGATAAGATCAAATTTGTTGTATTAGTTGACATGTCTGTTTTTTATTTTACATTCTCCTTCAGAGCTACGAATATTAAACCAATGAATACCTTGAATGTTTTTTCTTTAGTCCGTTATTTTAAATAGAGCGAAGAGAAAAAAAGATTCATCACAGTCAAACAATAAAAGTAATTTGTGCTTCAAAATACTAACAAGTTCACTTGTAATATAATGTATTTTAACAAGAATATGAAATAAAAAATAACTGGATATTGTTTTTCTTTGTTACAGAAAATGATGCCGACCATTGTAGCAATGAACAAATTTTGTACACAATTTCATGTCATTCTTCATTTGTTCTAAAGGTTTAGGAGAGCGAAATACGAAACAAATCATTTGTAATAGTTCCACTCGAATACATTTGCAAATATAGTCTTGCCAATAAGTATAATGCTTTACGCATTTCAAAAACTAGTCAAATGTGTGGGTTTAACGTGTTCCACTTGTAAAAGATTATCTGCAGAAAAATTGTCTTTTGTTTTGTCATCTATTCAAGTTAACTTAGGAAGTCGGAAATTAAGATGAATATCCATTTACTTAATGCTTGATAAACACAGAAAGTAGCAAAGTGAATATCTCTCTCCGTGAGATGAAAGAAGAGAGAGACGCAATGAACAAGAACAATCACGAAGATAACCGAAGCGATTACATAGATATAGGGGCGGACAATGCTGTTAATTCGAAAAATTTACTTTGTTTTAAATTGTAAAAAAGCTGATTAACTTTTTTATATTATTCGTTAGAGATATGACTGCTGAAAAACATGATGTAAAAATTATTTAATTATCTTGAAAACTCATCGAGTAATTTCCGTTATTTTGTCGGTAATTGAGTTGACCTTTAACTGGAGCATTAATTGCAATAAGAACAGGTTACCACCAAATGTTTCTAATGACAAAAGTCTATATAAAATACATAGAACATTAAGTATTTTAGATAAATAGACTTTTTCATGTCTGAAATTAAAAATTTCTTTGTGGTTTCGTCACAAAAAGTGGTCGTTGATCAATGGTTCCTTAACTTCTGGCGGTCTGAGAAAACGGACGTTTTCTCTTTTATCAATGATATCATCTATTGAAAATGATGGCATTACTATTAAATGATAGCCTGTGATAATGCAGTGATAATTCCGTATCAATTAAAAAATAGCAATTTCGGCTATATCTACATCTCTATTGTTACAATAGTGCTTCCTAGGTTGATGATTCCAGTGCCCGATTCCATCCATAGCTGAATGAGTCCGATCATCAAACACATTCATCAGATTCGTACTTTGAAGTTCCTACTATTTTCCTGCTGAAACCGGCTGTGCCTCATTCACTTGGGTTCTTTAATGATCAAAATATTTTCTCGGAAAATTGCAAGAAAGTATCGTGAACAATTGTATGTTCGACACCATGTTGACGAAAGATTATAAGATCAAGAATCAAATAAAATTGGATTTAGTTAAGCGAAGATGTGTATTTTTACTTCATAATTCAGATGCGATACAATATTTTTATAAATATGTTTTCATAATGTCTTTGTCAGACTTTATATAACTAATGACTTTTCAATCTCTACAAAATCATGAATTGATCCCGTCTGAAGTTCCCTCTTATTAACACTAAAGAATTCAGTGTCTTTTGTGGATTCTATTTCCTTTTTTTCTGAAGTAATCTTGATGAAACTATTTAATATTTTGTGCATGAGTGGACATTTGAATACTTGTCTCGTTCCAAAGAATAACTCTTTATTTTTGTCTGGTTGATTATTTGTTTACATTCATTACGAATATATTCTAAACATTCTGAAAGCTTTGTATCAGCCACTTTTTCTCTGTAACTTAAAATATGCATCAAACACAATTCAGATTTAGATGAAATTTTTACAATTTTTAGTATATTTAAAAACAACAAAAGTCGAAAAAATTGTGAAAAAAGAATTGACCTTATACTTAGGGCGTACCAAAAGTTCGTGTTCCGCCATTTAAAGGGCCTTGTCGGATGGGGTACATCGATTCAGAAATAAGAAACAAATATATTTTATTGTAGACCTTTTCGAGCCGCATCGAATGGTATATAGTAAATCCTGTTTTCATAGAACTTTGAAGGACCTAGAGTCAAATTACTGATAGATGATTACACATTCACACCCATCATTATTTACACCCGTACCTGAGGACCATAAGTTAATGTTTATTATGGTTCTTGATATTAATTGAAAGCATATGTAAAATATTGTTTCTCGCATGCTACTTTGTAGAGTTTTTGATGGGCTACAACTTCATATACGCACTATCTCCGATCATCTTGTGAATGCGGACGTGAGTATGAATGGGTGTGAATGTGTAGTCGTCCATCAATAAATTGACTCTAGGTCGTTCAAAGTTCTAAGAAAACAGAATTTACTATATACCATTCGATGCGGCTCGAAAAGCTCTACAACATGATATATTTGTTTCTTATTTCTAAACCAGTTCACCCCATCTGACAAGGTCCTTTAAATGACGGGACACGAACTTTTGGTATGCCCTAAGTATATTTATATTAAGGTCTCCCCACCCCTCCAAAATCGATTTTTGATACGGTGCATGCGATTTTCACGAAACTTTTTATAGATGCTCGGCCCATGGGGGTACATATATAAAAAAAATTTCATGGCCTCAAACCTTACCGTTCGGGAGATTTTCAAAGATAAAGGTCCAAAATAGGGCTTTCACGCGTACAAACTTTTTTCAGTATACTTCAAGCTAAAGCGCTTGGCCTGGTCTCATTTGATAGAGGACTCCTTGGTACTTCGGATGGGGGAAAGGTATTTTCTAATTTTTATTTTGTTTCATTTTTGAGATTGTCAAAACTTTCAAATTCTAAAAATCCTAAGCAAAGTTTTTCAGAAAACTCATGATTGCTCTTATATTGAGAGCCAAATGTAAAATCTCTTTCCATCATCCGAAGCAGTATGCACGTATCTATCGATTAAAAAAACCGCAGCTCTCTTGGATGAAGTATGTTGAAAAAAATTTGTTCGGAGATCGACCATTTCCATAAAAATCAATTATGAGAAAATCGATAAACAAGTTTAAAACCGTTGTTACACACGATATGAAGAAAAAAAAGACTCCTAGATGTTTTCTTGAAATCTGACATTGCCATTATACCAAACGTGAAGAGAAACCTTCATACACAAAATTTTAGAATTTTCGGTCGTTGGATAAGCAGGAGCGAAGATTTTTCATAACGAAGGTATGTGTCACTATAGGTGTCACAGGCCTCGCAGCGGTCCTGATTTCCTGATTTTTTCCTGATTTTTCGTAGTCGTCCTGATTCATCCTGATTTTGGTACAAGATCCTGATTTCCTGATTTTTGGTGCTTTTCGAAACTAAATAATTTCTCTAGAAAATGTCGGTTTAGTCTCAGTGTAGGCTTTTCAGAAATTCTGTCTTGAATTGATGAAGATACTATTTTTTCAATGATCGCGATGTCCATCTTGTTTGAAGAATAGATAAAATTCTTTATGAACTGAAAAATGTCGGTGAATATGTGAAAAAATTCATCTGTTTTTTTTACAAGATTTATACAAAATCTTGTATCATTATTCAGTAAGAAAAAAAAAGAAAAGACAGGCACAAGTTAATTAGTTAGTAGATCTGGAAGTCGAGAATCCGATGAATAATCAACTCTCTTCGTTGGATTGCCGTCGACGAATCTCATGAATGAACTTCTCAAGATGTCTCCTTGCTTTTGGCCTGATATTTTGGCTATATCTTGGGACCTCTGGACTAGAATAACCTTAAGTTGGCTCACTTGCCTGGCCATTTGAGCTTGATTTATCATGGATTCTGGACTTATGACACTAGGTTATCAGGAACAGGAAATATGTGGATTTCGCCCTGAAATTTTGTCTATAAATAAATCTGATGGCCACGAGGATACCTTAAGAGGTTGAGACAAAACGAATGCATCCTTGAGATATTTAGTTTTCAAAAAACCGTCTATTTCTCAGAAAAA